TATTGATTCACAATCCAAATATTCAAATCAAAATAATTTATATTTTAATTTTAGGTATTTTGACTTATGTTATTCAATTATTTGTAATATATTATTTTGTTTATAGATTTTTAGAAATTTAAAGTATATAATAAATTTTAAATATAAAGTATATAATCATCAACTTCATCTTCTTCAAGTAACAATAACTGAAGTTAGTAAACGATATATTGAAACATAAAACTCTAAAATATATGATAATGTGAAATTTTACCATGTTCATAAGCTTCATATCTTTTTAGCCAATTCCTACTACATATCTAAGCTTGTACATTCTTTAGATTTAATGTATATAAAAAATATTCAATATATATAAAATACTTTGAAGTTGTTAAAAATACTTGTAAATATATGTAAATAGTCAAACATACATGTCTAAAATTGCTAAAGTACACTCAAAACATCAAAAATACTTAAAACAATTATTGATTTACAATCCAAATATTCAAATCAAAATAATTTATTTGTTAATTATAGGTATTTTGACTTATGTTATTCAATTATTTGTAATATATTATTTTGTTTATAGATTTTTAGAAATTTAAAGTATATAATCAATTTTAAATTTAAAGTATATAATCATTAACTTCATCTTCTTCAAGTAACAATAACTGAAGTTAGTAAACGATATATTGAAACATAAAAATCTAAACTATATGATAATGTGAAAATTTTACCATGTTCATAAGCTTCATATCTTTTTTAGCCAATTCCTACTACAAATCTAAGCTTGTACATTCTTTAGATTTAATGTATATAAAAACATTCAATATATATAAAATACTTTGAAGTTGTTAAAAATACTTGTAAATATATGTAAATAGTCAAACATACATGTCTAAAATTGCTAAAGTACACTTAAAACATCAAAAAAACTTAAAAAAATTATTGATTCACAATCCAAATATTCAAATCAAAATAATTTATATGTTAATTTTAGGTATTTTGACTTATGTTATTCAATTATTTGTAATATATTATTATTTTTATAGATTTTTAGAAATTTAAAGTATATAATCAATTTTATTTTTTAAATTTTTTTTTTAAATGGGTTATCCAAACCCGAACCAAACCCACAAAGATCCGAATCGAACCCGAATGGGTACCCGAACGCCCACCCCTAGTTCCCACTGGTCCATCAGCAGCAACATTTTGTTGAACCGTCTCACATGGCTCTGTAGAAGATGAGTTTGCCTTGGAATTTTTGTAGTATGACTCATAAAGTTTACCGAGCTTTTTGCACAACTTCTTCAACTTTGCATTACGTATACTCATCTCAAACTTGTCAAAACAAAACTCGATAATTGGAATATTCAAATGTGGATCAAAGACGACTGCCGTTGCAGAAACAACATTAACATCATTCCAGTACTTATTAAAATATAGTAATTTGAAATAGTCATTAATGTTGACCGTAAATAGAATTAATTGATTGTATTTTAAGGAAGATTTTGTTAAAATAATCAATACTAAAAATTAGGATTTGTTAGTTTCTATTGGTATTTGGTGTTATCTATTCTATTAAAATACAGTCCTAAATTTATCTACCATTAAAGTTGTCATTTAAATTTTGGGCTGTTTCAAGCTTGTTAGTATGTTACATAATTTATGGACCATATCGAGTTAGTTAAAATTAATTATATTACACGCTGCAATTAAATTTAAACCGGACAAACTACTCTATTATAAGTAAACCAAATGAATTATGTTCTATTAAATTATGTTCTATTAAATTATGTTCTACTAAAATTAAAGTAGAACGAATGTATATATACACTTATATTAGCAATACAATAATTCTCACTTGGATTTCTTATACTATATAGATTAAAATTTGTTCTAAGTTGATTTATACTTTTCTCTTATCAACATCATATCATCAGACACAGAACATGTATATGTTTGGCTTCTCTTTGCTTCTACAATATAGTAGATATGATAACTCTTTTTTACACCTCATTTTTGCAAATATGTTATTTGGTTCTAAGTTGATTGATTATGTGTAAGATTTAACGATACCTGCCATTATGAATACAATATGTCATTATATAAACTTCAATCATATTATTTCAAAAGTGCCAAAATATGATATCAATTTTTAAAAATTTAATCTATTAATTTAGGATATTATTTTTATCTGTCATTAACAAGTCATAGTAAGACCACTTAAAAATAGTTAATATTATATATTTGATTATTTAAATTAATAATAAACCAAATATAAATTTGAATTTTACCTTCTCAATTATAACAAAATCTGTTGAGAAAGAATCTAACAAAATCTTAATTTTTATTTATAAAATAACATATTAATTAATTTCATAATAAATAATATCTATATTATTAAAAGAGAAGTACCCATATAAAATACCCCTTAGTTTTCACTTTTATTTACAATAGCATGCCACTAAAGTAATTAAGTGAACTTATATGTAAGTAATCATTGTCTTTTCCTATTTATTAAACAATTTCCTAAATCAGTTTTAACTTAATTTTCGTGTTTAATATATTCCCTAAAATAAACTAGCTGATTTTTAGGAATATTTATATTTAAAAATGAATTTAACAATATTAAATTTGTATAACGTTACCATTAATTATTTTGAACAAAATTCAAGTTTAAATTCGAAATTAAAAAAATATTATGAATATTCCTAAAATATATGTTTAACTTAGCATTAATTATTTTGAACAATAAGATTTTAAATATATTTAAACTACTTATAAACAATATGAAATATTTATAACTGAATATTATTTTAATATAATTAAATCTCACCTAAGATTATATATTTTTCAAGAATTTCTAAAATATATGTTTTACCATTTTGGTTGCTATTAATTATTTTCAACAAGAAAATTTAATACTGAAATTGAAATATTTAATTACTTGTAAAACAATGTTTAATGTTTATAATAAAATATTCTTTTTTATAACGTATCTAAATCTTACCATATTATTCATATCTGATCAAAATATTTAAATTCTTTTTACATTTGGCAAACAATTTCATGTTACAAGAAATATTACTCAAACTATCAATAGGTCAATATTAATTTTTCAAAAGTTTAATAATGGACACGAATCACTATTTTTACAGCACATAAACTATTCGATTGTTGTGTTTATAAAAATTTAGAAATATGATAAATATTTAAAAATATTAATGGATAGACATTTAAATAATATTTATTTATATAAAAATGAAATAAATACCCGTCCGGTCGGACGGGTCCAGATCTAGTAATATTGTTATAAATCAATGTTAACTATAACTTTATTATAAAACAAGAAAAAAAAATCTATTATTTTTTATAAATTCTATTATTATATTATGTATTATATAAAATAGGAGGCTTATATGAATTAAATATGACAAAATTATATTAAATTGGTAAATTAACAAATTTTATTTTTAAATTGGTTCATTTAAATAAATTATCACTCATCATTAAAATGGATTAAAATTCGTAAACTATATAATATTTTTATACAAAATATATTTATTAATATAGGTTAAACTTTTATACCTACAACCATATATTATCTTCTCTATTTATTTTGAAAATCTCAACAATATATATTGTTTAAAATGCTTATATACAAAAACATAATAGTACATAATAACCTTTAGTGCATATACTATTTAGAAAACTATGAAATTTTAGTAATTCATTTAAAATATTAGTGACAAATCAATTTTTTTAATTTTAATTATAAGAAAACCTGTTGAAAAAAATTTACGAAATATTACCAAAAATTCAAATACTTTTTACAAAATAATGTATTGATGTAGTAAAAAAATATTCAAAATTCATGTAATCTTCCAAACTCAAAAATAGTAGTGTAATTGTTTAGAGTTTTCTTGAAAAAATATAAAATTTTGAAAATAAATATTCAAACTCAAATGCTAATAAATTTTTCAAAAGATAAAATCATAAATAATAAAGAATAACTTTTTGAAATGACCACGAAAAATAAACTATGCTGGTTACAAAAATTAAAGCAATCCAATATTTTTAAAATATTATTTAAAAATAAAAAACTTAAATTTAATATCACAACATCTAAGAATACCTATATCATTAAAATTTACTAAAATAAGATGATAGATACTACTATGTAAAGTAATAGGGCTACATTATTTAAACAACATAATATTTTTACATTAAATCCCGTAAAATACTAAAAAAATATATGTTAAAGTATATTTTTAACACACAACATGTAAATATAAATTATCTTAAAAATATTTATTTTTTTATAATACAAATAAATATATTCTAAAAATATATTTTGAAGGAGGTTATCAATTTGATTATTTCACATTGTTTCTCTATTGTACCTAACTTGATAATATAGTAGAAAGTAATAAAAATTAATAACAAAGTAAAATGTATTAAGCAAATTACTACATATTAATAATGCAAAATAAGAAATATAAACAATAATATTATAGAGTTACACAATATATGATACTAAAATATAAAATATATATTTAAAATATTTGTAATATCATCAAATACATTTATAAAATAAAATGTATATGCACGGATGTGCGGGTTAAATCTTGTTTTAATGTTATTTTAAGAGTTTGTTCATAGTGGTACTTTAATTTTAGTAAGATAGAATTAAAATCCAGTGCAAAACCAGAAATCAAAATTTAAAACTAAAAATCAAAAGTTAAAAACCAAAAACAATCAACAATGTGGTTCCAATATTTTGAATAGACTTATATGAAGTCCCCCACATAATACCGACCAATACAAAAAAAAAAAACAAACCTCAATAATCAATATTAAAAATGATGAGAATCTCTTGGTGTACAAGTATAGTTGACCATACACATTTTCTTGAGCCCCAAACACATTTGGTACGCAGTGCTCCCCAAGTACATGTCTATATATACGTAGACATTGTTAGATCCTACAATGCATCAACTCTCAAATCGAAATAAGAAGAAAAAAAATAATGAAGAGAGAAGGTCGCCAACACGGTGTTGTTCGGACGTGGATGATTCTTCCTTCGGAGTTTAATCCACGACCCGCAAACCAATTCGTGAACCGGTTTGATTCACCACCAGCTTTTGGAGTATTTGCCAAAGTTTCATCAAAACCGACTAATCACTCCAAATTCACCGGAAAATGTGAAAGGTCCAAGTGCAGTGGTTGCCATGTGTCACCGGCTAAAAAGTCGGCCAACAAATCTAAAGGCCGCCGTAAGGAACAAGCAATGGCTTGGTGGGCTGAGGATAAGCTAGACCACCTCGTGAGATCAGACTCGTCCTCTGCCTAAAGTATTGTCCACAAATTATGTGGAGAAGATTATGATGGTCATGTGTAATCATGATAATGATTATTAGTCATCACTTTGATTCATACTAGATGAAGGGTTATTTTTATACATATATATATGCTGGAACTTAAATAAACTAATTTGTAATACCTCAATATATCCCTGTTTATATTTATTAATCTTCGCATCCCAAAATATATGAGTTACAAAAATATAAAATTTTTGTTTATTTCCAAAAGATTGTAATAATTTGTTTTTGTCTACTAAACGTTCATTTCATAAATCAATATGTGCATTCCAAATTCTGGTATATGTCGAAAACTTAACTGAAATGATTTGGTTACCTATGCTCTCACTAAAATGTTATTATTTTTTTCGGGTACATATCCGTTTAAAATTCTAAAGTTAAATGTGTTTATTCTGGAGTAGTAGAACGCTAGGTAACCTATCGGAAAGTGATTCGAAATAAAGTGCGATGGATGTCAAAATACAAGAAAATTTCATATGGTGATTGTAGGGTCAGTAAACATGACTTCTCTCGAAAAATTTAACGCACCTTCCACCGACCTATGGGCCGAGAGAGCAGGCATGGGATGCCCATGGACGTTCGGAACATTACCAATAGTATTAGAGCTGGTAAGTCATTTTGACTTTGACCTGAGAGACGTTTTGAGATTTGTCGTGTTCCGTTAGTAGGAATGAATTATAACATCCGGATTTTCTGGTATATATGGAAAAACGTCAAAATTGATCTGACTATCTATATCACCATTGTGTATTTACCTTTTCCGACACACATTTAGAGAGAACTATAGAGTTAAACGTGATTAAGCTGGAGTTGTCAAATGATGAATGATCTATTGGAAAGTGATTCTCGATATCGTGTGAGTGAGGTCAAAAGACAAGAAAATATCATATTGTGATTACTATCATAGTAGACATGACTTTGGAGACTTTAGAAAACTAATGCTCGAAATGGGCCACAGAACGAGTGAGCGGACGTGAAAAATCTGTTAGTCGTAGATGGTCGGAATGTTACGCAATAAGTTGTAAACAAAACCATAGAAATAATTTTTCACAAATTATCATAGGTTTTAGTATTCAAATATTTAATTAATATTGTCATTTTAGTCATGTTTTAGAATTTTGGTGCGATAATCTAGTAATGATGAAACAAAACGCGGTTTCACCTTTAATCGCGCGGTTAAAACCGACAAACGGCTACCAGACTTTCCAAAAGGGAAAAACATAAAAAGAAAAAAAAAGAAAAAGATTAACAAATAACTGAGTTCCTACCCCGCTAGTCTATATATCACGCATTGCAATTTTCATGATTACATGAAAGCACTAATCGCTTTCTCGAGCCAGAATATTAAGGGGATAATATAACGAAGCCCAAAAGGGAGTGGACAGATGGATGAAACTACTATTGGCTGTAGATTCGTTTGAAAAAAATAGCACTACAACAAACAGAAAGAGCAATCAGGGTATAACCACTTCACTTTTGTAATGCATTAGAGAGGCGTGATTCGCATTTTCAAGTGATAAATAATCTCACAAAATGTTGCTTACGTAATGCGAAGCCTGTTGTCATGTTGAAAGGCTAAAGCTAACAAAGGTATAAACCACAAAAATCTATCTACAAATATGCATACTCAATGCAAAGCCATGTCTCAATTTTCGCAGAAATAAGCACAAGCATGTTATGCCGAGAGGCTAAAGCTAACAAAGGTATAAATCGAAACTCTATCTCTATTATATAAGACGGGACGAACGAACTAATATATTAACCGATCTTGACTCACGTTGATCTCAAACCGATAAAACACATGAGATGGTAGTACATTTTTCAGAGAAATCAAATCGAAAACTCAAAAAAGAGCAAGATCAACAACAAAGCAAAAGGTCCCATATATAGTAGCTAACAAAATCTTCTTCCACGAAGTCCTTTCTCTGAATATATGCAATCAGCAAGACCAAAGCACATATAAGCTCTTAAGTGGTAATGTACAGCCTGGTTATTTCTAGAGAAATTCTTGGGTTCACATCCTAGGATGAACCTCTAGTTCACCAACCAATATGATTTCATTATTTTATATTTTATATCTTTTAAAAAAGAAACAAAATATTATAGAATTATATTATGTTTTTAAAATTAAATGATAAAAATAAACAAAAAATAATAGTAGTTATTAAAAATGTATTAAAAAAATATTTTTATTACCACCAATAAAACACTAAACCCTAAATCCTAAACCCTAAACTATTGGGTAAATCCTCAACCCTTGGATTAATCTTACACCCTAGGATTTATGATTAATTCAAGGGTTTAGAGTTTACCTAAAGGTTTATGATTTAGGGTTTAGTGTTTTACAGTCAGTATCAAAAATATTTTTTACAAAATCAAAGATTTATCCAAGGGTTTAGAGTTTAGGGTTTAGGGTTTAGTGTTTTGCTGACGGTGTTAAAAATATTTTTTTAAAAGTTTTTATTTGCAACTACTTTTATTATTTTTTTATTTTTTTTTATTTTAAAAACCTAATATAACTCAATAATATTTTGTTTCATTTAAAAAAAAATAGTGAATATAAAACAATGAAATTTTATTGGTTGGTGAACTTTTATGTTCACCTTAGGGAGTGAACCCAAGAATTACTCTTATTTCTACATAATTTTGTTTGAGTTTCAACATGAAAACGCAAATGCAAACAAACAATCGGGGGGACCTCTATCCTAAGAGTGATCTCAAGACTCCATATTCCTAAATTTTTCCAATTATCCAAGTAAAAACAACTTTCTTCAGAGGCCAGAACCATACCAACATAGCCAAAACAGCACCAATCTCTGAGCAGTGAGGTTCCTAACTCCAACAAGCACATTAGTAGCAACAAGGGCCGTGCTTGTTAAACAAAATTTAAAGCATTCACTACAAGAAAACACGTCCTTTACTAGGACGGGTTTTCCTCGTTATTTCCTAGTAAAGGGCCCTTTACTAGGAAATAGCGAGGAAACGTGTTTCGTCGAAAGACGTTCATCGTAAAGGCTATTTTCCTCGTAAAGGCCTAGCTAATTTACGAGGAAAGTTTTCCTCGTAAAGCCGTGGAAAACATTTCCTCGTA